TGCCCTCCCATATTCCTCAAGAAATTGCCAAGCCAAGCTAGAAAGTTCCCCAAGGGTTGTGCAGTGCAACAGTCTCCCATACAGTCAAAATTAGGGTTTCAAGTCTGATCAAGAAAAGGAAGTTTTCAAGGGCTCAATCAAGTCTCATATGCATACAAGCATGGTCAAGCATCCTCATATCAAGTTTCAAGGCATTCAGCTCAAGATTGCACAGTCAAAACCCTAGATTGCACTACAGTCAACTGTAGGGGCAAAATGGTCATTTGGCAGTCAAAAGTTCAAATTTTTGGTCAATATATCATTTTGAAGCCACAAACATCATTTGATCAATGCTTGATCATGATTCTCAAAATTTGGCTCAGAAATCATCAAAGATGCAAAAGTTGCTATATTTGGACAACTGAAAAAGTCAACTGAAATTGACCAGGGCATAACTTTCACATGGATTATCAGAAAAATTCCATCCAAAGCTCATTTTGAAGAGAAAGACATTTCCTACAACTCATCTTCATACTTCAAGTCCAAGAAATGCTCTCACAAAAAGTTATCAATTTCAACATTATAGGTCATTTTCAAAAGTCAACAAAAAGGGACTTTAAGTCAAAGGCCATAACTTGAGATTGGTAAATCAAAATGACATGGTACCAAAGGCATTGGTTAAAGGACTCAAAGACCTTTCCAAAATGTCCAAGAACATGTGAAAAGCTTAAAAATTGAGCAAGTTATGCCTTGTAGAAGTTGGGAAATTTTTGTGAAATGGCAAAAGTCAACTATCTTTGAAAATCCAATTTTTGACAAAAGGGCCCCATTTTTTCCACTTGGTTCATCCTTGTCATACCACACACGTGTCCCATGGTTAATTTCAAAACCAAATATTGACTTTTTTATTTTATTTAATTTTTGATGATTTAATTCATTTTAATTCTTTGAAAATTCAAATAAAATTTAAAAATCAATGAAATAGTGTCATGTGAACTTGGACAATTTCTATGTATCATGAACCAACTCAAGAAATCAGGCTAGGGTTCATTTGCACACTAGGTCTAGGTCTTGGCTAAAAAGGAGGAAAAATGGTTAATGGAAAGAACCCTAGGACTAATTCCCTCCTAAGCATGGATTAAGGTCAAATAGCAAGCCAAGTCTATTCCATGATGATCATTGAGTCAAACCCTAACCATAGTGCAGCAAGAAGCTCGCTAAAAAGCCATTGGACAATTTGAAATTTTGGCCATATAATGCAAAACTGAAATCACTACTAGGGGATCTTTCAAGCCTTGATTCATATACCAATAGCTTCCTGAGACAATTCTGAACGTATCCCAATTCATAACATCAATCAAAACTCCTTGAACTGGTATCCATGAGCAAAACTGTACCTCAAAAATTCTCAAATCGCATAGCATGAATTAAGCATCCTTTTGCATTTTTAATTACATATTCATGTTCCTCACAAAGTTTCCAAACTATTCATGGTGTTTGATTTCATTTTTGTTGATCATACGCGAATTCACCATTTTCGAATATTAGGGTTACAGTTTTCTTAAATTGGGGACTTTGCCTAGAGGAAAAATTAGGGCTCATGACCACCATGGTTGAACTCAGTACACCAAGACGAGCAAGAAACAACCATCGCGAACAATTTATGTAGCCTATATGGCTATTCGCTATTTTCCCATAGCATGCTTAAAACAACGCTTCAAAACCGTTGCTGTTGTGTTTCATGTTTCAGGGCACGCGAGGAAGAAGACGTCGTGGCAGCCAATGATACGCTCATTCAAATTCGCGCGCGTGGAATCATTAATATCTTGATTATTCCTTTTATTATTTATTAACTATATTATGTTAAATGAATTCAAAGTGGCTCAGTGGCAACGCGTTAGGCACATGACATCAAAGACCTGGGTTCAAGTCCCAGGTCTTGCAAAATTCAATATTATTTTTCATTTCCAGTTTCCATGCAACGCTGACATTAAAGCTCACCATGCACACTCCTCATCTATTGCACACGTGTCCTAGGAGGCTTATCAAAGGGTTCAGAACAAAGGCATATGGTGGACGCCAGTCAACATGCCACACCTGATTGGAAAAGTCAACAAAATTCAAAGCAATTGGGCCAGGCCTTTCAAATCTACACCCCCCTGGTTTGCTTTATTATTTTTATTTTCTTTTTTTTCTTTCTTTAATTTTTCTTTTTTTATTTCTTTTATTTTGCTATTTATTTAGTTAATTATTTTTAACAAAACATAAAAACCTCACAAAATCAGAAAAGACCATAAAAAATATAATTTTTATTCTAATCATTTCCTAAATAAATATTTGTAATTATTTAGTTTTAATTAGGTTTTCAAATTTAATTCTTTTAATAGCTAAAATCAAAACAACATAGAATTTAGGATTAATGACTTTTAATTTTATTTTTTTTCAGAATAATAATATTATTTATTTATTTTCATAAACTAAAAAGTGTACATAAATTAATTTAGAATTAAATTAGGTTAGAAATTAAATCTCTTTCTTAAAAACTTAAAAAAAAAAACATCAGAACTAGGGTTTAGCATTTTAATTTTAAATAATTTTTCTTTTTTTTTCTAAAAAACACAAAAATACTATTTTTCATTTAATTTTAATTTTAGATTCCTTGATTAATTTTAATTGTTTGTAAAAGGGTCCAACGCCCTAATTTTGTTTAATCTCTTTATTTCGCGCATTTATTTTATATTGTTTAAATAATTCTGTATATGCCCCAAAGCCATGTAATTTAAAATTCTCGCACTTTTATTTATTCGCTTTATTTATTTTCAGTCAAATCGGGTTCGGTTTTTTTGGCGATGTGGACCCGCGCCAGTTGTAATAGTTTAGATTTATTTTCTCGCAAACTTTATAACTGTTAATAAATATGCATGAAAGAATGTATGGATCCAAAAATAAAATCGAATCGTTAGATCACCAATGCATGACAAGACAAACAATAAGCTGAAAATGACACACAATTCGCACACACCACCCCTAGGGTACGCCTCACTGTTGCCTTTCGAAAGGTGGTCGTCGAGTATAGGACGTTTTTAGTAAGTCCTTATGTCCATGACATGATCCAGTTGCCTCGAAACGGTTGCCTCGGAAAATAAAGGATCAATGGCATAAGGGTAGCTTCTAAGGTGCCCTACTGTTGCTCCAGCGACCGCCACGTCCCTAAAACTCGAATTGACCCGAACACCTCCAACGGTGGTGCTACCTACCTCTCAATGGTGGGATGGCACTAATTTAAAGGACTTTTACACAGACGAATTCCTTAGGGTAGGTAGGTTCTCAAGGATACTTGCTCTAATTTCAAACAAAAATACTTTTCACACCAACACATTTTCAAAAGCTTTCAAAACAAACTTTTCAAACACTCTGACGCACGAGTCGAACTGAAATTTTTCAAAGAAACTTTTTAAACCCACAATTGAAAAGCAAGCAAACATTTTTGAAAACACAATGAGCAAGTATCTAAGAGCCCATGGATAACCATGGATAGAAAGGGCGCTAACACCTTCCCTTTCTATAATCTACCTCCCGAACCGAGAGCAATCTCTTTAAGGAATTTTTCCGTGCTTTTGTCCTTTCCATTTGGAGAAAATAAAAGACGGTGGCGACTCTTGCTTCCGCGACATTTCGCGAACCAGCGTTAAACAGTCAGTTCCAGATCCACCGATCACAACGTGTCTAACTGATGCATCACCACCTCCCCACAAAATTCCTCGATCGCTCCTCGATCGCTACACGGGGAAAATCACAAACCGGGCGATGCCTGTTCTCCCCGATTGAAAGCCCTTGCGTCGCGCAAGCGAGCCTTGCGGAAGAACGAGTTGAGTCAAGTCACAACTCTCGTACCAGGAGCAGTGACTTGGGGGGCTCCTGTTCTGGACTGGGCATGCCCGTGGCCCAATTACCAGCGAGGCCCAATCCAAGCTTTACAACATACCATGCTGAGTATTAGACTGCCCGACACGCCCCGATCATGGGTGTCGTCGAATACAATTGTGCCCGCTAGTGACCGCGAAGAGCGTCCCCGACGAGGGACGTCCCAGGCGAGGAACATCCCAATTTAGGCCCTGCTCGAGCTCACTCCTCGTAAGGCAGACTCTCAACCTCTTCGAATATCTCAGAGTCCTCAAGGTCCCGGAAAGATCGCGTCTTTACCTCCCTATTCTGCGGAGAGCATCATCCAGGTAGGGGACCACATGCAGGTCCCTACGACTCCACGTAGAAACTGGCAATCCCTTTGTTGGGACTGTTTGGTCAGGCCAGTGAATGGACCTTGGCCCAGCGCTGTGGGCTATAAATACCCTCTATTTCAAGAGGGTCAAGTATTCATTTCATACACACCTATATACTACTTGCCTGCTCATTCCGTCTCTCACTTTGTCATCGAAGTGTCTTGCAGGTACTCCCATCTCCTTCAAACCCAGTTCAAACCAGCTGTGAGGGTCCAACTCTGATCAAGTACGATCAAGTGACATCATTGAAAATCATCAACAAATTGAATGAGAGACTAAATTCAAATACAAAACTTAAAAAATAATTAAAATAATAATTTTTAAAGTAGAAATTAAAATCAATAAAAAAACTAAATAGAAGAACCAAAATTTCAATTAAATTTTGTAATTAAATGACTTTTAAATTGAAAAAAATACTTAAAACCAAATAATTTTATATAAAAAACAATTTGTGTCAATTAAAACTGCATGTTATTTTGCCAAAAATTAAAAACACTTCCAAAAACTATTAAAATATTTGGTTAACCTTGAAACATTCATAAATTTCTTACTTTTCATTTTTCCCATTCCCAATCCCATTCAAACAATCTGTATTTGATCTCTAATCTATCCTTCTGTTGTGAGTATGTAAAAATATAAACAATACTATATTGAAGTGTTTACTTTCAATTTTCAGTTACATATTCCATTTTCAATTTCTGATTCAGATTTGTTTCATTCGTTTCCGCAATAGATCGGGAAATGGGAGATAGTGACATTGAAGGCGGCGGCGGTGGAGATGACGGTTTTCGTTCTCCGATCGGCCGTAAGTATCGTCCCGTGTTGGCGAACGATCGTGCTGTACTTGAGATGTCTTCCATAGATCCAGGATCTTCTTCTTCCTCAGCGTTTCCAGATCAACCTCATAATCTCAGGTATTCGTGCTCTTCGATCTATATGATTTCCGTTATTTTGATTCGTTTTCGTAATCTGAAATTGGATGAATGTGAAAGACTTTCAGCAAAGCTGGTGCTTGATTTTGATAGGGAGTGAGTTATCGTGATTTTGCGGAGGGATTGAAGCTATAGTAGTATGTTTATGAAGAAATTGAAACTAGTAATTCAATGTTTTTGTTGTGAAGAATGGCTTCTTTTGACTAGTTTTCATGTTGTTTATCAAAGTTTTAAAAAAACGCTAATGACAGCCATACAAAACGTTATCTGAAGGTGCCGATACCGATATCGTTATTACAATTTTTATTAATTCAAACCGCGACGACTAGACACAACACAATCATTGTTACGATACCTGTACAGACTGAAATCGCAAAAGTCTTTACACGACTGTTATTTATAACCTTGTTTATTAAGAAAAATTGAAGTTAATTGTTTGTGATTAGTTGATTTTGGTTTTTTGATTTTTTTGTCGGTTTGTTTTTGGTGTCATTGTTGTTCTTAGAAAAATAAATGTAAGTTCAGATGCTAAAGATGGGAACTCTCCTCGGCAAGCTCAACCTAATGGACCCCAGCAGGAATCTAAACTGGAACTGTTCGGATTTGATTCTCTTGTCAATATCCTTGGTCTCAAAAGGTACTTGACTTGCTAGCTACACTCTGAAAGTCTGAACGTTATTCTTAATCTGCATTTGGATACTTCCCTTTTCGAGTTTTGCAAACTACTGCTGTTATTGTTGTTTTTGTGCACCGATGATATGATTTTTTTTCTGATGTTATTATTTTTAACATCCAATAAAAGCATTTAAATGACATTTTTTTTTGGATGTTTTTGTTTTTCTAAAAGATGAATTATTATTAAAAAGAATTAAAAGTAGTTTTAATTGAAAAAGAGCTTTCTAAAATGAGACGGACAGGTCTTGATTTTATTGTTTTTGTACCTGAGGGGGGTGTCTCAGGTCAATGTTTGTCATATTTGATTTTGGTTTAGTTTTGAACCTTTTTTTTGGTTCTCTTATGCTAAACATTCCTTATGGACTATATCCTATCCTTCCCCAGCATGACTGGTGAGCAACCTGCACCGCCGTCTAGTCCTAGAGATGGCGAGGATATTACAGTTCCTGCTGGGCTGCCAAAGGTATGCTAATTTCTCAAGTACAAGTTATACTTCCATTCAGTTTATCATATTCATCTGTAGAGTCATTCATATTCATGTGTTTATAGTTTGAATATACCAAAACAATAAATAGAAAACTCGAAGCAAACTCTGTCCACACTAAAATGTCTACTGTCCTATTTCAAATATAAGCAAAAAAACTAATATACTCTAATTAAGAATACTAGTTAATTGCTTAATGTTCTGAACTTAGAAAGGAAAATAATTGCACTCTCCACATTGCTCTTCACGAGAACTTGTTTCACTGAAATAAAAGAGTTATTGCAATCTTAAATTCTAAATTAGTTGAAGGGTATTTCGGAAGAATATCATTAGATAGAATGAAATTAGTTAAATATTGCTTATATTTTGGACCATGACATATATGTTTTTATTTTTTATATTCAAGACCGTGGTAGTGATTGTATTCATAATACAGATAATTATTAAAAAATATTTTTTATTTGGTGGTGCTACCAAAATTGTTATGAATATTTTAGGATAGTGGATTCATGCATATGCTTCTTCCATTGCTATATTTACATACACACACATGCACGTGAGACATATTAGTTATGATTCACGTGAACATAGAGTATTAATTTAGAGGAGCAAATCTTGACTATTGGGACACACATATGTGGTCTGGATAACTGAAGTTCTTATACTCACATTAATGAAGGAGAGCCGGTTCAAATAATTGAAATTGTTGCCGTGCGACTAGGCGGTAAGTTTGAATAGTATAGGAGGTAGGTTTGAATAGTATAGGAGGCAGGTTTGAGTAGCACAATTTACCTTTTGCAAATGTAGTGTAAGGTTGCCTACAAAGTGGTTCAACATTTCCCTAGACTAACATGGCAGAACTCATATAACATTTGTTTTCCATTTTCTTAGACATGCTTGCATTACCATTCATAGAAGTCACACTACATTCTATAGTTATATTATATAATAATTGTAACCAGCTTGATTCATTGGTCCCAATTCATGGCCCTCATTTTCACAAAAAACTTCTCTTCTCACATGATAGGCCTTCCCCCTTCCCCACACATAGCCAGCTTGATTCACTGGTCCCGGTTCATGGCCCTCATTTTCACAAAAAACTTCTCTTCTCACATGATACACCTTCCCCCTTCCCCACTCATAAATAGGTACTTCTACATTGCTGGAGCTTTTGTTTTATTTTCTACTACATAGACCTGTCTAGTTCATCTTTTATGTTGACAGTTAAATATAATTTTGTATCTGTTTGTGAATGCAAAAAAAAAGGTGGTTGTAACCTTTATGGTGGATTGCATTTGATTATTTTGACTTTGATTTTAACTTGATTTTATGTCATGTTAATTTTATTTTTTTCAGCCTGAAGCTCTCAAACTAGGGACACTGATGGGTGTATTCATTCCTTGTGTTCAAAGCATTTTGGGAATCATCTACTACATTCGTTTCTCTTGGTAACTTGCATGTTGCTTTAAATCTTACCTCAAATATTATATATAACTACTTCATTCATCAACTGTCACCTGTTTTGGGAAAACAGTCAATCACAAGCAAGGTTGTCAAACTCAAAAGTCTAGGCTAGGTTGTCATACTTAAACATCTAGGCAAGGTCCTTAGACTTATAAGAGTCTATTTAATTAAAAAATAATATTTAAAAATCTATAATAATGTCGAAACATAATATAATACCATTAACACATATCATGAACCCAAATAGCATGTCAACTATGTAAACTCACATATCATGAGCCCAAATAGCATATTAACTATTTCAAACTCAAAAGTCTAAGCAAGTTTGTCAATCTTGAAAATCTAGGCAAGGTCCTTAGACTTATAAGAGGCTCTACTTAATTCAAAAATAATATCTAAAAAATCTATAATAACATCCAACCATAATATAATACCATTAAATCATATCTTGAACCCAAATGACATATTAACTATGTAAACTCTCACATATCATGAATCCAAATAGCACTATAACTATGTAAACTCTCACATATCATGTATTTGACTAAGCAAGTTATATTCATTACCAGAGTATTGCAAGTAACATTAATTAAACCAAGTAATACTAGAATAAGTTGATTATTTCTATTTTCTACTTGATTGAATTGAATTGGTTTTCCTTTTGTATTTGATTGAATTGATTTGGAATATTTATTACTTTATCATAATTCAAGTAGCCAAAAATTAGATATTTTCTTTTCAATAATTGTCATTATTGTAGGATTGTTGGTATGGCTGGCATAGGAGAGACATTGGTTCTTGTTGCTTTGTGTGGCATTTGTACGTTCCTTACTTCAATATCACTGAGTGCTATTGCAACCAATGGTGCCATGAAGGTAAATGTCTGAGCAAGTGGAACTACTTTTTATTTGATTTAAATGCAGTCCTTTTCTTTTCAACATTTGAGTATTAAAATTAACTACACCTTACGAAATAAGCTATTTTTTATACAAATATTTTGTATTATTCCACAAGTTGTTTAAACTGTATTTGATAGTTAATTTGAAAAAAGAGTTTCTTGTCAAGAGTACTTCACGTTATGAAGCTAGTTGATTTGTGAGAAGGGAATGATTGAGCATTTAATGTTTAAGTATTATGTACAACGGATAGAGACTGTTTCAAATTATTTATTGAAAAATACATTATTTTTAGTAGCTTCGGAGGCATAATTCGATTTTAACGAGTGTAATAGATGAGAGTGTAGGTTAATCAAGTGGTATTCATTGTTAACAAATACAAATTAGTTTTGTTTTACACAAAAGTTCCTAAAAAATATTCTTTAGATTGTTTTATCTTTAAATCACTCTTTTTAATCTCAAAATAATGGGCCAAAATTAGACTAGTCATATCCTCCCTAGACTTATTCACTGTGGAAGTGGATTAGTCCCACCTGCAAAGGATTTGAACTCCTCGTGGTCTTTGAGTATTGAAAATGGTCTTTGAGTAATGAAAATCTCTGCGAGAGAAAATGAAGGATAAAATGAAGAGAGAATAAAGCTTCTGATCTGAACATGGTGATTGTCATTTGTATTGTGAAGGGTATATATTATACACTAAAAGTATTTAAAGATACTGGAGAGGGTTAGGTAACCAATTTGCAGTTACAACTTCCTAACTACTTGACTTAACTGGGTAGCCCTAGGAAATGACACTGAGTTACTCACGGACTGATATGGGATTATCGATAGAGATTAGAAAAGCTATTAATAGCTTTCTACGAAGCAAGAATTAAGAGATTGTTTTGGTGTCTTTTTTGTATTTATGAGCTCTATTTTAAGGTCCTTCATGTAATAAGTATGGGCGTGATAGTGTTTTTGCTCTCATATTTTCCAAGAGTGGATTCAACTGATTACTTGAGTGAAGAATTGAAGTTGACAAAAAGGACTGCAACCATGAAAAGAGCAACTGATCTTATTGCTCCTAAAAATGAATAGGCCTTGTTCACTCTCTCTAGATCTAGATCTTTCTCATTCATCATTTGGGAGGAATAGCATGATTCTCCACCAGCTTTTGTAATTGTCAACCTTCGATAATGGCTTCAAAATGTAGCATCCAAAGAAGTTTATTGTCAAGTTTCTTTGAGACCATGTGGGAGAATGCCACTGCTGCGGATGCAGCAAGTTGTGACAGATGGAGAAGATGAACTTAAGGGTGTAGTGATCATCAGTGAGTTGCTAGAGGTGATGGAGCATATTGTAAAATTTTATGTGAGAAAAAATGAAAGAGAATGGAAAAGAGAATCAAGTTTCTGTTCGAAACAATGATTTTCAGATACACCCTAGCCTTGATACAGTTATAACTTTCTAACCATTTTACTGACTAAATTGACAAATGTGTATACATCGATCAGATTAGATAAGTACCTGCAGCTACTGGCAGTAGACATTGAGTTGTGTCCACATACCAAGTCTTCAAAGAAGCCTTTCAGATTTGAATCCTTTATACAATTTCATTTAGACAGTTTTTGGTTTCCCTTTGCCTCTAATAATGATGCATAGACACGATACATGTTTTACATACAATACGATATGTATCTGATTACAGAGATATGCCATTCCTTAATAACTTTAGGATATGATATTATAAATACTTATTAAAAATAAAATGATATAGGGAATATTTTATCAATAACTATACATGATTTAATACTTGTAATGTTTTTTGTTACTTATAATCCACACTTTTTTTATTTTTCAAAAATTTAATAAATGTGTATTTGATTATGAAAGTCTTAAAAAACTTATTAATAAACAAGTTTACAAAGACAAAACGCATGAATGTGTTATGCCCCGAGCATGAAACATAATCAACAATAGTTGAAAAAAAGGTTAGTGGACCATGTAAGTTAGGCCCAAATGTAACCCTAATCCTGTCAATGTATTGAAGACGATACGAGATGAAATTTCACGGGTCGTTACATCATAGGCCTCTTGTCGTTGGGCTATCCTCCACTTGATCAACTCTTCGTATGACTTGTGATGATTGCTATCGGTCATATTCTCAAAAGCCCAAAACATTTGGGCGCGATTCTTCCATCTTTTCCCCAATAAGTGCTATTTTCAGAAATTGAGACAAGAAATACTCTACCCGGGCTTCTACAATCTTTGTTGCTCATGTTGGCTGGTTTAAGTTAATCAAGTTGGTTACTTCCATCTTATTCCCTGAATAACTCTATCTGGCCTTGAAAAGAAAAATAAGAGAGCCTTGTTTCTGCTGCTTTTTCCAAAAATAGTTGTCTGATTGGAATTTCTGTCATTTAATGGCAACTTCTGTTTGAAGATGGCTATTTATTTTGTTGGAAGTGTTAACTGTCTACAAAGAGGGCTATTGATAATGTTATATGCTGCAAAAAAAGAAGCCATTTATAGCTTCAAATTTTAATAAATCACAAAAATTCTGTTTGTTCTTTGAGATTTTACATTTATTTTATATCTCCAGTTTTCTTTCCATCCCCGTGTTTGTCAATTTTTTATGGAGTGTTTACAATATCTTGTAATATAAAGTTCTTTTTCCTGATAAAGCATTATACAAAGAAGTGTTTTTCTGATTTTCTCTAAAATTTAAAGATAATCCACTCATGCACTTCATTGTTTTCCCTGTTCATTTATTAATATAGTCAAGTCTTTTTCTTTTGTTTGTTCTTCTCCAGGGTGGGGGACCATACTATCTCATAGGTCGTGCCCTTGGTCCAGAAGTTGGAGTTAGTATTGGTTTATGCTTTTTCCTTGGAAATGCAGTTGCTGGAGCTCTGTAAGTGCATAATATGGACCTTTTTACATCTTAAACATTTAATGGTGATCAAGCTAGGTAGATGATGAATCGAGTGTTGCTAAATTATGTGTCATCGTAGCTTATTACGCACTGTGCAATGGATTCTGAAGTTTCTTGTTCGTTGTTTATGGTTCTAGGTATGTATTGGGAGCTGTAGAAACATTTTTGAAAGCAATTCCTGCTGCTGGAATTTTTAGAGGTAATGACTTATAAATCTAGACATTTTCTTTATGTGTAATGAAGTGGTCATTCGTATTTTATTAATTTAAAATTTTAATACTTACATGTTATTTATCACCTACTATTGTCCTAATAATTATTTCTGTGAATCTAATTCACCTCAAGACCATGGTTTACACTCTTGCAATTGTATTATTGTGAGTGTCGTCAAATAGTGGCTATAGTGGCACCTTAATGCTAGTGTAGCGGAGTTTGAATAAATCTTTATTGTTGTGTGACGATAAGTTATTTAGTACGAAGTGTTGACGCTATAGCACTAGCACTGTAGCGTAACATAATTTAAACAAACTACTATTTTTTGCAATCTTCGATTGGGGATGTCATAAGTGCCACGTCCAAGGTAGTTAAAATCAAGATTTTATGGAAAATTGGGAAGATGGAGTGAAGTTGTAAATCGTGGAATTGAACACAAATAGTAAGAACGTACAAAATTCTAAAACTCATATGCATATAAAATAGCATTAGCATTAGTAAGACAAAGAAACCTTAAATCACTTAAAATACTTGCTTAAGTGTAAAACTCATAAGCATAGCTCACAAGCAAGATATTCAAAACCTTAAATCACACTTCAAATACTTGTAAGTTTTTAAATTCTTTCATAAGCATAATCCAGAAACATTTCAATGATTGTAGATTATACGTTTCAACGACTAATAGGGGTGTTTCCACCAAAATGAGATTATATGTATACTCTAAATTGCTGAGGGCAACTATGATCGTAAAATTGTGGGATTTTACGATTAGAAGCGGGATATTAACTACCATGGGCATGCGAGCAACCAATGGGGGTCCGTCGTGTGGCAGGGATGAAAAACAAAATTAAACATAATTACAGGGATCAAAAGCAAAAGACTTGCCCCAAAAAGCTGTAATTTCAGTTTCTAACTTCAACTACATATTGCTCAGCGCATATTGTTCAGCACAGCAAAATAATAGATTTTTGGTCTAACTTTTCTCTTTTTTCTTCTAGTTTATCTATGTAAAAACTTATATTTAAGTTTTTCATTTATTTATTTATTTTAGATGTCAACTTTTATTATAATTTTTTAGCTGTCAATATTACTCACAGAAGTACTACAGTACTTGCCTTCTTAGAGCATCTCCAATGGGAGAACTAATTTTTGATTGCTTAAGCTATTTTATGTGAGACCAATTGCCACATTGCATTTAAGCAATCTAAACTAATTTTACTCCAATGGTGATTTCAATAAATAATCTATATTTGAGCCGATCAATTTATAGTTGGCCCAACCAATTATCAAAATTAATATTATTTAATGATAAGCAACACACTTTTTGCATTGCTTCATGAAGCAACTTACACAAAAATTTAATCAACGAGAACGCCTCATATATTTACTCCAATGGTAAAAATGTTAAGTTCCGGAACTTAAAATCCACATATGCATTAAACAACCTCCATTGGAGATGCTCTTACTGCTTGCTGCATTTAAACAAAATATACAAACTTGTACACACATTTAAACTACTCTATTTTGAAAAAATTACTACTATACAAATTTGTACTCATATTTAGAAGCATTTCATGTTTCGGTGAGAACTCACATCTGTCCTGAGAAGATTGTATTGATAACATCTAGCTCAACATCGTTAGTATGCACTCCCTCACCTATACTATAAGGGGTTGGAGAGGATATCCAATCATGTTCTAGAACTAAATTGATAAAAAAAAACCAAAGTTTTGATACAAAACTGTTTCAGCTTAACTTTGTAGAGCATGACACCAAAAAGATGCACATTAATCATGCTTAAGTGAAGTGTAAAAAGTAACTACGTGTACCAACACAACTCATAAAGACAACTAGAGATTAGTATCTAGTATCTACTGTATAAAAGGCTCCGATGGAAACATCTTTTCTAGATCAACTTGGCAATAAGCATGTGGCCAGCATCACACATTTCATTAAAAATGTGTCGATTAAAAATGTGTTCAAAATTAACATTTCCTTAAAAAATTCAATTACTATCTCACATGTCACAAGTTTCTACGAGATCATACGGTTGGTTGGGGCCTAAAACTCATCTCACAACAAATGTGAGTTCTCACTGATACCCCAAATATGTCTTAATGTAGGAGGGCTGCCTTAGCGTAATAAAGAAGATATCGTGCGTCATAAAGCATTTTAGTATTTAAATAATATTATTTTAATTTAAATAATTTATATTTTATTTGTTTTATTTAACTATGTTTTGGATTAAAGGCCCATAAGGCCCATTAGGGTTTCTTGGTTTTATGTATTTAAAGACCTTTTGCATAGCCAAGGTTATCTTTTATTATAATAGAATTCAAAGTTTTCTTTGTGCTGGTGGACTCCATGTTTTATCTGACAGGTTTGCGCTTGCAACCCTTTGCAACTGTATTTTATTATAGGTTTTGCGTTTGCAAACCTATTCTTTTTTCTAGGTTTAGTGCTTGCTAATCCCTAGGGCTTCCGACTGCGTCATTTGGCATCAGAGCAGGTTTTCTCCTGTTCTTTTCGTTGCTTGACAACCATGGCGGATCAGCTGGTAACCAGAGCATATCTTGAGGGAGTTACCACAACTTTTACCACGGCTCTATTGTTTTGACTGAACAGATGGCGAGTTTAACAAATCAGGTGAACAACAACAACAACAACAACGTGAATCAGCGAAGAGACAGGGGAAGAGAACATGTTAGAGTTCCACGGGGTGGAAACAATCATCACGCTGTTATTGTTGACAATTCAAGTTCCGAAGAAGAAGAACAAGACGAGGAAGAGGTCGGTGATCATGGGAATCAACATAACCATGATTATCGAGTGAAGGCTGATATTCCATTATTCTATGGAACGATGGGGGTGGAGGAATTTCTGAATTGACAGATTGACGTCGACAGGTTCTTCGACGTTATGGGCGTCCCTGAGAACAAGCAAGTTAAGATAGTTGCAATCAGGCTTAAAAGTATTGCAACCGTCTGGTGGGATAAACTTGTTGTTCAAAGGCAGAGGCAAAAGAAGGGGCCGGTCAAAACATGGCGAAGAATGAAACAATTGATGCTAGAGTGATTTTTACCGGAGGATTATGAACAAATTCTTTATAAGATGTATATCGAGCACAATGAATTAGGAGAATCAGAGAGCCAGAAAGTGACTCGATACATCAGTGGCCTAAAGGGATTCTTGTAGAAGAAGATGGGTTTACAGACTGTATGGACCGTAGCTGAAGCATCCAGTCTAGCTTTGAAGACAAAATTAATAGAGAAATCCCCTCGAAATTTCTCATCTTTTAGGTATTTGTCCCAGAATAACTTTGAATCAGTCGGCGACAAGGGAAAGAGTGCAACAACCCAGGATTTCAACTCTGGGAATAAAGGGGCTAGCAGCTCTAGCGGTGTGTAGCAGGGTAAAGCACCAATTCAAAGGCAGAATAATCCATATGCTAGACCCATTATAGACACATGTTATCGTTGTAATGGAAGAGGCCACAAATTGAATGTTTGTCCAACAAAGAGAGTCGCTGCTGTTGTGGAAGAAGAAAGGGAGGAAGATGAGGAAAGAGAAGATCCTGCAGTTGAGAACGATGAATATGCCAATGTTGAGTTTGCATGGGAAGAATTTGATGAAAGGGTAAATTCTGTGTTGCAGAGAATGTTCTAGCATCCAAAGACGAAGGGCAGCACAAGAATTTGTTTAAAACGCATTGTTCTGTCAAGAACAAGGTGTGTAATTTGATTGTGGATAGTGGCAACATGGAGAATCTGGTCTCACAGAAATTGGTAGATTATTTGAAGTTGTCCACAAAACCACATAAGAAGTCATACACCCCCAGTTGGGTAAGCAAGGGATCCCAAGTTCGAGTAACACTATCTTGCAGAGTTTCTATCTCCATCGGAAAGCATTACAGAGAAGAGGTACATTGTGATGTTCTTGATATGGATGTTTGTCATGTTTTACTTGGCAGACCTTGGCAATTTGATCATGATATCACTTATCGAGGAAGGGATAATGTGATGATGTTTACATGGAGTACACATAAAATTGCTATGGCTCCTGTTTTGCACTTTGACAAGAACTCAGGAGCAAAGAAGTCTAGTTTCATGGTGATGACACAATGTGAAAAGGAGATTGATGAGACTATTAAAGAAGCTAAATTTTTATGTCCAGTATTGACTAAAGAGGTGATGAATTATGTAAAGGAGAAAACAACAATAGAATTGCTTGGGGTCCTAAAGGATTTCAAGGAGTCGACCGCAGATAAACTACCAAATGATTTGCCTCCTATGCGAGATAAACACGTGGAAGTTAAATTTTTCAATGTGGGAGAAGATGTGATGGCGTTTCTATATAAAGAGAGATTTCTTCTATATAAGATTTCCAATTGGTACTTACAACAAATTTCAATCAGATGAAGCTCTTTATAAAGAAGAGAACTCGGGATCGAGTTCTTCAGAAGTGAAGGAGTCTGATGTAGGAGGAATGCCTTGGCGTAACAAAGAAGATATCGCGCGTCAGAAAGCATTTTAATATTTAAACAATATTATTTTAATATTTAAGCAATTTATATTTTATTTGTTTTATTTAATTATGTTTTGGATTAAAGGTCCATAGGGTCCATTAGTGTTTCTTTGTTTAATGTATTTAAAGACCTTTGGTATAGCCATAAGGTTATCTTTTATTATAATAGAATCCAAAGTTTTCTTGTGCTGGTGGACTCCAAGTCTTATCTGATAGGTTTTGCGCTTGCAACCCTGTGTTTTATTATAGGTTTTGCGCTTGTAAATCTATTCTCTTTTTTAGGTTTAGTGCCTGCTAATCCCTAGGACTTCCGACTGCTTCATGTCTAAATGTGTGTATGAGTCTGCATATTATTTTTTTCAAAATACGGTATGGTATGAATGCAAGCACTATAATATCCTACAAAGACTTTACTAGTTGTCCCCCATTTAAAAAAATATATACCTATGAGTCTGTACAGCAGTATTTTCTTTTAAGAATGGATTAGAGCTAGTATGAAGGCAAGTACTATGATACTCTACTTCTGTCGGAAGTAGTGAGTATGAACAGTTAAGATAAAAAACAACTTAAATATATTCTTTATATAGATGCTTGACTTGCATATGCAGTAGTTGAATTCAAAAACTGAAACTATAGTTTTTGGGGGTAATTTATGCTTTTGGGCTTTGTAATTTAGTTTTTTTTGCTTTTAATCCCTGTAATTATGTTTAGTTTTGCTCTTAGTTCCTACCACATGAGACAATTACACATTGGATGCTGACACTGAGGACATGGAAACTCAGTCCCACATGGCAAAGTCCAGTTGCCAAGATTCCTATCACGTCAGTAAATTTATTGTGACTAGGATATCGGAGGACCAAAAGTGATGGAATCCCATATTGTGGGGGTGGAATCTGTTTTTTCTCCCTCCAAGGGACTAAAATCAAAACTCGCTCAAATGTGAGGGACAAAGCATAAATAACCCAAAATAAAATGATACACTTTGTTTTTCCAGTTTTTTTAGTAGTAAATTTAGTGTTTTGTTTGTGACATGTTAAATGGATTTTAGAGGCTTCAGTAGTTATTGGAGAATCTGTTTTTCAGAATAAGAGAGAATTTATCGAGCACGGGCCTTGGAATTGGTAGCCATAATTGCTATGGGCTTCAGTGGGTCGCCCAATACTTTATATAAATAAGCTATGATTGCAAATTGGAAGATGGAAAAACCGACGAATGGCTATCCTAAAGTTAAGCAAAGAGAATAATAATTGAAAAATATGGAATCAGCTTTACATAATAATAAGGGAAATAAAAACTATACAAAAGATGTAAGACATCTCTACAATACAACCATGCAGAGCCAGTGTCTTTCTTCTTTCTATTTGATTTTAGATCAATGTGCATAATATAATGGCCATCAAACCGACATGTTTTTGTAATCATATTTGACCCTGGTGATTATAACTTAGGATGACCTTATTTTGTGCTCCTTTGTTTATGTTGCATGTTTACTTTTCTTTTTCCTTTGGGCACATGTGCAAAAGTTTCTTTTCTCTTAAGTTAAACAACTATACTGTTATGCGTATTTTGACAAAAAAAATGACCAATATGTTGAAGTAGGAAACTGATAATTTAAATAAATTAAATTTCTTTTTCTTTATTCTTTTTGTATTGTAAGTGCAGAGACTATGACACCGGTTAATGGTACCACAATTGCAATACAGAGTCCAAGTTCACATGACCTGCAAATTTATGGGATTGTTGTGACTATTGTGTTATGCTTTATTGTATTTGGAGGAGTGAAGATGATAAATCGGGTTGCACCTGCATTTCTTATACCTGTTTTATTCTCACTCGTCTGCATATATTTGGGAATTCTGTTGGCAAAGGAGGATCATCCCACAGGTTTGTTTTATTCTCATTGTTAACTTGTCCTTTTGCACTTTTAGTATCAATGGTTTGGCTTCATCATAGGCTTAAGTTCACATGTAGACTTTTTCTTTTCCTGCTAGCTTTCATAGTTTGGTAAGAGTTGGTTGATTCTTAGGTGTAACAGATATAAGTTCATTTTCAATATATGCTGTACTATAGTTTATACAAAATTAAGGGAAGACAGAGGCGAATATCAGCCACAGGATTCCAGTAGGAGCATGAAATGAACTAGTAGTTCAGTTTTAATTTTATGATAGTGTCACTTTAGTTAAGGAAGTTTTCTGTATGTAGCTATAAGATATGCAATATTGTACAAAATTGAATGTTTGGCTGCAAAGGTAATAAGAAAATGGGCGTCCCTACATATGATCTGAATGCAAACCCAATTATTTAATCGCCTAATCATATCCTTCTTATTGTGAATGCACAACAAGACCGAGTTTTTTCTTCGTGACTGTCGTACCATTCTGTTGTCATTGTTTGCAATAATTCGATCGGTGCTTTAAGATATGCAATATTGTACAAAATTGAATGTTTGGCTGCAAAGGTAATAAGAAAATGGGTGTCCCTACATATAATCTGAATGCAAACCCAATTATTTAATCGCCTAATCATATCCTTCTTATTGTGAATGCACAACAAGACCGAGTTTTTTCTTCTTGTGACTGTTGTACTATTCTGTTCACTGTTTGCAATAATTCAATCGGTGCTTCCTCTTAATCTCTTTCTCGGCAATAGCGAGCAAAAGCAAGTCGACCTAAAAATCTTAGATGACTTGGGAAAAGACCAAGGGGGGTTCCTTTCCTTGAACTTGCAGGTTTAACATGCACACAAACAAGATAGGATTTTGAATGACACTGTTATGGAAAAAAAAAGTAGGGGTAGCACCTATTGTACCAAGATCGTAGAATCTTGTCATAGGTGCTTTTATGGCGTTATTTGATCTATCAAGCAGACCTTAGGGAGAAAAGGCTTTGATAGTTTGTTTTTACCCCCCTACCACATAGCAAGCTATTATCAAAAGGAAAAAAAATCAAAGGCTAGTTCGAAATACTGGTAATTTCATCAATGCACTTTAGTCCAAGCTTGCATTTTACAGTTGCTTTGAAGGTAATATATATTTAGACAGTTGTTGCTGAATTCACCAAACCCCCCTTAATACTGTGATAGGATGCATGATCTAGTTCGCTAGACACATGTGTTCAGTTTACGGGTGGGAGGGGTAGCTCAACTGACTTGAACCAGTTGAGTTAAGGGTTAAAAGGAGTTGGAGGTCGAGTTAAGGGTTAAAAGGAGTTGAAGGTCCAGGTTCAAGACCTGACAAGGGTGTAAATATTATATACTAACAACTAACAGTTTTCCATTAAAAAAACACGTGTTCAGTTTGTTATGGAACACATTATGAAATGCAACTATTTTCCGAATGGATGTAGGGCACGAGGGGAGGGTATTAGTGTCTGCTGCTAAACTTGAATAGAATGAGAATATACACAACCAGGTGAGGCAGGGAGCTGCCTAAGGTCACGTCTTTGTTTGGGAAGCAGTGCTAAACATGATTTAGTTTTTTATTTGGGGGATTGAAGAAAAATTAGTGGAGGACAAAAGGCAAGAGTATTGGGGTGTGTTTACAAAAGTTATTCCTGGGAATGTGACAATGGGAATGCAATATTTCCATGTTTGATTCAAGTTTTAAAAAATCATTCCAAGGAATTTTTTATTCCAAGGAATATTATTTACTCATGGATTCTCTATTCTTATTCCAAAGCATAAAGGGTTGGAATAAAACATTCCCATGGGAATAAATTTAACTAACTCTAACTTTCTACTATCACTCCTATTTACTATTATTTTTTATTTTTTTATAATTTAAAATTAAACAAATTTTATAATTATTCTTAGGAACCTAAATTCTTACCAAACACATGGATTGGAATAATATTCCCAAGAATAATAATCCTAGGAATATCATTCCAAGGAATAAAATTTTCAACCATGAAACAAACACACCCTTGGGGTAGGAAGGTTAATATGCTATCGACCATCGACAAAAAAGAGAATCAAATCCGGCTACAAAATAAAGAAAGGTTACTGAATTGGACTGGTACAATTGTCTTGTCTTAACTTTTTAGGGCTTAGTGCTCACATTGCTCTTGCTACCTTCATGTTGTAGACTGTTGATTTTTTTTCTCTTTTTTTATTTAAATAAATTTTACTTAAGAGTTATACTGATTTGTGCTATTAAATTTCTTTAATTCATTAGTTTTTCTACACTCTGCCATATTTATTTCAGAGGGAATTACTGGGTTGAGTTTGAAGACTATTAAAGAAAATTGGAGCTCAGATTATCAAAAGACTAATGATGCTGGAATTCCAGATCCCAATGGTTCTGTAACCTGGAATTTCAAGTAAGACTTTGTAGTTTTTTTTCATTTACTAGTGTTCCTATATCCTCCTTTTATGCTTTATATGATTAGATCTTTCATTATTTTTGCTAGAAGCGTAATTATTGATGCACTTTGGATTTTACTTTCTGTCAGTGAATCATTGGTGGGAAAAGTTTTTCACATATGTTAAGAAAAATAAGTAGTGTATTTAAGGTGCCTATTTTGTATATAGATATTCTAAACTACTCGTTTATATTATAAGACATCTCAGTTTTAATTAAGGGCATATTTAGAAAGAAAAAAAATTTATCTAGTAATTTGAATTAAGGCCATTTGTAACAAAAAGACCATTTGTAATTTTCAAACAGATATTGCTACTAACTAGCCATTCATAGTTTACAATCACCATGATGGACTTTTCATATCGCTTATGTAATCTCTTGAGAGTTTGTGGATCAAATATATGATTTGTGTTTTACCAAGGCTCCACAAGTTTACCCAAACTCTTGAATTTGATAACCTTGGGATAAAAATATGGGGACTGAGTTTCATAATATTACAATTTATTAGTATTAATATAATTTAAAACTATTTCATATTTAATGCATATGCCTCGGGGGATTAAGTTTTAAAAAAAAAAAGGCTTGTTTATGATATTGAAATGCTTTTTCAAAATTTTTAATTGTAATATTTCCCCCCAGTTCTTTGGTGGGCCTTTTTTTCCCAGCAGTGACAGGAATAATGGCAGGTTCTAACCGATCATCTTCTCTGAGAGATACTCAACGATCTATTCCTGTGGGAACTTTATCTGCAACTCTTGTAACTTCTATTATGTATCTTATTTCTGTGATAATGTTTGGCGCCATTGCCACCAGAGAGAAGCTTTTAACTGACAGGTACATTTTAGTCGAAAAGTTGTTTATGTAGCTTTTTCTTATAATATAAGCATCAGCTCAAAATATCTACTCCCTCTGAATGCTTACCAAAAAAATTGCTAATGCTTCATGAAATGCACTTACCCCTTTTCATCACTTTAGTTTTCCCTTTAGCGGTTAGTTTGGCAATAACTGTATCAGAAAGTTCCTTGTTTTTTTCTATGCAAACGGACATATAATTTATCTTGGTTCTAAGCCAGTTTCCGTGTTTCTTTTTTCTTTTTCTTTATTCGGTGGTATATGCTTATAATCTTGGATATTGATGGGCTTTCTATTAACTGGTTTTATTTTGATTTGGAGTTTTATGCAGGTTGCTTTCAGCTACAGTTGCCTGGCCTTTTCCTTCATTAATTAAAATTGGGATTATTCTTTCAACCATGGGTGCTGCTCTTCAGAGCCTGACCGGCGCCCCACGTCTGCTTGCAGCTATAGCCAATGATGATATTTTACCTATTCTAAACTACTTTAAAGTCGCAGATGGTAGCGAGCCACATGTTGCTACCCTTTTTACTGCTTTCCTATGTATTGGGTGTGTCATCATTGGGAATCTGGATCTTATCACTCCAACTGTGACCATGTTTTTCCTTTTGTGTTATTCTGGTGTCAACTTGTCCTGCTTCCTTCTCGATTTACTAGATGCTCCTAGTTGGCGTCCTCGGTGGAAATTTCATCATTGGAGTTTGTCACTTCTAGGAGCATTACTTTGTGTAGGTATGCTTCAAGTTATCATTTGTATTTATTTCGTAGATTTACTGCTTCCATTGTTTCTTTATCTCCCTGTTTTATATCTGATCTGATGAAATCTGGAAAGCTGCAACAAAGACAGAAGAAAAATCCTTTTTTGTAAATGTTAATGATTGAAATAAAACTAAACAAGAGATAATAGTACTCTCAAGACATCATTGATGAAGTGCCATATGATACTGTCAATTTTATCTGTAGGCAAATGTAGTGAGAATCCCTTTGTTCAGTATAGTATTCAAATTTACGTCTTAAGTCTTATTTATAAAAGGGGAAAGAGTTTTGCACAAATGATATTGCAACTGTACAAATCAAACATAGTTGTGTAATAACTACAACTAAGAAAGCCTATAAATATAATCCAGTGGATACTTATTACTGCTTCTGTTTCATTTCTGTTTCATTTTGAAGCTTGATTGTGATGATTGTTTGCAATGCAGTGATCATGTTCCTAATCTCTTGGTCATTCACTGTGGTTTCTTTGGCCCTTGCAAGTCTTATATATAAGTACGTGAGCATCAAAGGAAAAGCTGGGGACTGGGGAGACGGTTTCAAAAGCGCTTATTTCCAACTTGCACTTCGTAGCCTTCGGTCGCTAGGAGGTATGTCATATTAATTCAATCATCCACGCGTCTCAAGTAGATAATATGATTCTGAATATGGTAACTGTTGATTTCGTGATGATGTATGATTTGATGGTTAAGTAGATTTGGTTTGAACCACTTTGATGCTTTCTTCCGAAGGTACATGTCACACATGGCTATCTGTTTTGCTGGTGTTTTTTTCTCAGCTAGCTTAGAGGAGGTTTCATTAGAGTTGGTTAAGGTGATTTCATCACCATTGATCAGCCCCATTAAGAGGAAAGGAGGTGAGGTAGTTAAAAAAGAACCGAGAGTGGCATGAAAGGCATTCACGAATTTTGCTGAGTGGTTAAGGTTTAGTTAGTTTGAGCAAGGAAACAGGTTTCTTCTTTGCAAAATAATATACATGTGAAAAAGGTGAGAAATTGCAGAGGATAAATTTGGTACATGAGAAAGATGTGTCTGGTTGGTTGTTTATCCCATATTATAGGCTGCAGAAGTTTTTAATTCTTTCTCCTCTGTTTTCTGATGCATCCAAGCAAGAGAAGTCTGGCTTTTACAACTTTTCTCACTTTAACTTCTATCACGCATAGTTCAGGAAAAACAATGTGTAAACGCTGCATGATTATTGTCATAAATTTTTTGCATGATATCATACCCTTTGGTACATGAGAAAGATGTGTCTGGTTGGTTGTTTATCCCATATTATAGGCTGCAGAAGTTTTTAATTTCTCCTCTGTTTTCTGATGCATCCAAGCAAGAGAAGTCTGGCTTTTACAACTTTTCTCACTTTAACTTCTATCACGCATAGTTCAGGAAAAACAATGTGTAAACGCTGCATGATTATTGTCATAAATTTTTTGCATGATATCATACCCTTTGGAATAAGAATCTAAGGAGTTATAGGACAAACTCGTCCTGTGGTCAACTTTCTGAAGTATCAAAATACGAATGGAATGTTTTCAATTACGCATTGCTCAAGTTTTAATGCACACGTCGGAAGTTATTTTGCTCTGTAACTTGTTGTTCTTTATGTTTGTAGCAAATCAAGTGCACCCAAAGAATTGGTATCCAATTCCGCTAGTGTTTTGTCGGCCCTGGGGAAAGCTGCCCGAAAATGTTCCCTGTCATCCCAAACTTGCCGACTTCGCTAACTGTATGAAGAAGAAAGGTCGAGGAATGACTATATTTGTCTCCATACTAGACGGGGATTACCATGAATGCGCTGAAGATGCCAAGACAGCTTGTAAACAACTTAGTACCTACATTGAGTACAAGAATTGTGAAGGTGTGGCCGAGATTGTTGTAGCTCCTAACATGTCTGTAGGTTTTCGTGGCATTGTTCAGACAATGGGCCTTGGCAACCTCAAACCGAACATCGTGGTGATGCGTTATCCAGAAATCTGGCGCCGGGAGAACTTAACAGATATCCCTGCCACCTTTGTTGGTATAATTAATGACTGCATTGTTGCAAACAAAGCAGTAGTTATAGTGAAGGGTCTTGATGAATGGCCAAACGTGTACCAGAAGCAATACGGTACAATTGACTTGTATTGGATTGTAAGGGACGGTGGTCTCATGCTACTTCTCTCTCAATTGCTTCTTACCAAGGAAAGTTTTGAGAGTTGTAAGATTCAGGTTTTCTGTATTGCAGAAGAGGATGCAGATGCAGAGGGGCTGAAAGCTGATGTTAAAAAATTCCTTTACGATCTTCGGATGCATGCAGAAGTCTTTGTCATAACAATGAAATGGGATGTACAGGTGGATAGTGGGTCTCCACAAGATGAATCATTAGACGCATTTACCAGTGCTAATCAAAGAATTGTTGATTATTTAACCGAAATGAAGGCAAGAGCAGAGAGAGAAGGTACCTCTCTAATGGCAGATGGCAAGCCCGTGGTTGTGAACGAGAAGCAAGTCGAGAAGTTCTTATACACAACACTTAAGCTCAATTCCATAATTTTGAGATACTCAAGAATGGCTGCTGTTGTGTTAGTAAGTCTTCCTCCTCCACCATTGAGCCACCCAGCATATTTCTATATGGAGTATATGGATCTGTTGCTGGAGAATATACCAAGGATTTTGATTGTGAGAGGATATCGTAGAGATGTTGTAACTCTATTCACATAGCTTGAAAAGGATTCTAGGACAGTAAATCAAATTTCTATCTCACTGTTTATATTTTTGTAGCTTACATGCAGGGCTCATTCTTTGTATCAATTTTCTTGATGATGAGGATCTTTTTTGTAAGGTTTTATAGAAAGATATGAAATTATAAATTCATTGACTTTGTTGTAATTATTTCCTATCGGATGAGACTAATGTTCATTATGCTCGTTTCCGAAATCTAGTGTCAGAATAATAATTATCTTTTGGTAGATGTCGCAGTCATGCAAAATTAACTCTAATAATACTATTTCTTTACTTTTTATATTCATTAAATAATTAGTGTATCTTGTCTTAGATATATTAATTATTTAATGAAATATATTAATTAGATATATTAATTATTTAATAAAAAAGTAAAATTTGTTTATAATAGGTGAGATAATGAAATACTACTCTCACTACATGTTTTGACACTGCATAGCAAATTTTTTTGAGACTAGTATAGGAGCAAGACTTATCTGATCACAAATACAAATATTTTCTCTTTGGGCAGACACACAAACCCTAAAAAAAAATTATTATATCAATGTGAATGATAATAATGTAGTTATTACTTTATATTCCAGTGAGTGTGCCTAAATACATAAGATTTGTATTTTGTATCCATACAAGTCTTACCAATAGAGGTGTTAGAGATTAGGACAAAAATCAAAGAAATTGAAACACAAACCAAACCATATTGAAAACTATTTGAACGTTTTTGGTTTGGATTAAAAACTAAACTACAATGAAGAAAATGAATTTCTAGAATTGCTCTCGTCCTGGATAGTAAAATTCAGATGCATCTCATGGAGTGATGTCCATGTGGACTCAATAAAAAAAAATCAAATGACGAAATAAATAGGTGGAGAATTTAACTGGTCGTTCTAAAATTTGAATCCGACATTCTTCAATATTTTTATAATGTCAAAAATGTCTCTGAAAAAAAGAATAAAATGATCGAGTGAAATTTTTGATAGGAGTTTAAAAGTTTTCGGTATACTCGAAATTTTTGGTGAAATTTTCTATAAATTATAATTTGATCAAAAAATTTCAAAATATGCAATTTCATACTGCAAATTTAGCACAAATTAAAATTTTCGATGGTGTATGTACTTAAGATTTTTTAACGATTAAGATTTTGTCGACAGTTTTGTAGGGCTGTGATGTGATTGCATCGACAGTTTTGTATGGTCCAGAATGAAACCAAGTATAAATAGGGGTCATATGTTCTTTAGAAAAACATCTCAAAATGCTCTTTCTCAATTTCTTATTAAGACAAAAGTGTATTCTAATAGAGATAATTCTTCTATTGAGTTCAAGCTATCAGATGACACCACATCTCTTGCCAACTTGACATCCAAGTTGAATAAATTGTTGCCTGATACCGATAACAAAAGGATGAGAAAGATCGAGTTTTGTGAAGATGGGATTGATACTAACGACAAGGTGAAATACAACTTTGTTGAGTTGACGACCATGTGAAAATCATTTTATCGTAGGATAACTAAAGGGCCGATCAAGTTTGATGCGAAGATTTTGAGATTTGTCGACGATATAAACAAGATGCTGAAATGTCTCGAATCATCTGTTAGTGTCTAGGTTTTCATGTTTTGTTATTTTTATTTATGTTTGTTGTAATGTTTTAAGTTATGTTTAACATCGAAACATGTAATCGACAAAATATTATGTAATAAAAAATATTGTGCTAAGTAGTTTGAGTCACAAAATATATAAATAATGAAGTTATCATATGAAATATTTAAATAACCCTCACAGGCTATGTGTCCTATCCGAGATAATCCAATAAAAACCTTACCATCAGAGTTTACCAAACCCACGAGGTTATCCACAATAACAACGATCAACTGGAAGCGCTCTTGGTCATCTGTGTCTGATGGAGGTGATAGTGGCGGCATGTCGTTATCTTGTACCTCATCCTGTGAAACCCAGGTATCAGAGGGATCCCTAACATTGGAAGGCTTGATAATAGGTGGTATGATGCGAGAGTGATATAGTGAGATACCACTCCAGGTAGTGGAGGCAAAACGGGCCGCCCGCCTCGCCCAGCCCACCCGGTCTTAAGCCCGCTCAAAAAAGAGCGGGGAGGACAAGCCCGCAAAGTGGAAATGGACATAAAAATATAGCTCGCCCCACAAAGATGGCGGGTCGGCGGGTGGTGGGCTTGCCCGCTTACTTTTTTATTTATTTATTTTTCATTTTTTTAATATATTAAATTTTTTTTTTACATTTCAATTAGATTTTTCACTTATTTTTTAGAACAAGTTTTTATAAAGCATCTTTTTATCACAATTTACTTAAATAAATATTGCATATATTCACAAATAAATATACAAAATTAAACCATTATTAATTGGACCTACTAAAATTAACTAAAAAAGGGCAGACATAAGGTATGACAAGCTGAATAAATTGGTGTAGCGGGCTTTGGCGAGCAACAGGTTTTGGAAGGGCGAACTTTGGGAACGGCGGTCTTTAGTGGAGCGGGTTTTAATGGGCGGCGGGTCCAAAATCACAATCCAACCTGCCAATTTTTGGCGGGTGCGTGGGCCATCCTTGCGGGCCACGACCCATTTTTCCACCCCTAATTCCAGGTAACCATCCTCACAGTACGAAGGGTGTTGGACCCTCATTGCGCTAGCCTTAATGGCATGGGGCAGAGTTGCCGATGTTACTCTAAAACCACCTATCAATTCCCCCAGCTGAAGCCGCTGGAACTGATTGTGGGATACCCTGGACATAATGATACTTTCGTAGACACCTCTCAAGCAAGTGTCTAGCCACTAAGGTATCTCACCTCATATGACTTGAATATAAGGAAGACTCGTCAAACTCATGGTGGGCCAATGAGATGTGTATGATGTCCAGACGACATCCTTTACTCTTAAAGCATCAAGCCTCCTCATGTACTCCACAACACCACCATTATGCACTTGCCTGACCTTCAATCTCCTATCCCATGAAGCACCAGCTGGGCATGCTGCACTCTCCTATCATTGATGTTGGGAAATGCTCGTATATCTAGCACTGGAGAAATAAAAATTAATGTCACAAACAACAATTAAATAAAAATAATTAAGAAATGCTTGTATACTTTGAATAAACTCAAATAACTAGTAAGTTGTTTGGTCTCAAAGACAGTCACAACTCTAAGTGTCTTATAAAGCATGATTAACGCAAATACTCCCCAAGCTTAGCTACTACTGTCTAGGCTACTAAGCAACTACAAGTATTGAACATCAATATAAACATTAGACTTATCCATAAAGAGAGTACATGACATCAGATGTAGCATGTATGCTCTAGCAGTAGCCTTATACCTATGTACCTCTACAAGCTCATGGTACTTACTCCGAAGCCAATACATTTAAAGGTGAGATCCTCTGTTTGCATTAAACTACACTAGAAGGACTGCTTCAGGGACTTGCAGATCCTCTATAACCTATAGCAATGTCGTCGTATGGTTAATGACATGAGCAATAAAGAATCTGCCGGTGATAGGGAGATGAAACAAGAATGAGACATCATCCAAAGTGATAGTCATCTCCCCAAATGGAAGATGAAAGGAATATGTATCATTGTGCCACCGCTCAACAAAAGCAAACAGAAGTGAAAAATCAAACATGGTCAATGAGCAGTCGGCGAACTTCAACAGACTAAAATAAAAAGCAATACGCCTGGCAAGCTCAGGTATCAGACTCAACGAGAAGTTCTTCATCTTTGAACAATAGGATGTCACCTTCAGCGGCAGACGGTCCTGTAAAAAACAAAGTTAAACAACTATATGTAAACTTTCAATACATCACCGAACAATAATAAATAATTTGAAGTTAAACATAAAATATATATACCTCTCCCTGCTATAATCTGTATGCCACATGTGTTAGACGATAGGCGACAATCAAGAGGTGGATGAATAGATCGCAAATGAAATTATCTTATTAAAATTCAGTTTTAAAAATGATTAAATATGGCACACAGAGACAATCCTGGATCGACAACCGTCTTTCCAAACCGCTATTGAAAAGGCCAGATATGTGTTAAACTGATAGAAATAATACATAAGATGAGAAAAACAATCAATATATTTTCAGCAAATACGCTTGAATAAAACCATACAATAGTAATTGATTTTCCAATGAAATATTAAACAAAAACTGATTTAAGCAATTTGTCGAACACTTGATGTGCGATCGATTCAAAATTGATTTTTCTATAATTTTGTTGATATGTATATTCAATTACAATCATATAGATTGTAATCAACTAAACAAAATAATTTGAATTATTAAACAAAGATATTTTCTCAAAATATCGATTGCACAATCAAAGTTTTCACAAATTGTAAGTAAAAGTAAAAGAAAGAGTGTATGTATGTATGTATGTGTGTGAGAGAGAGAGAGACACACACACACAAGGATTTTTTTAGGCAGTTCCCTAATCAACATCGCTATGGGTACGTCTGTCCCCAATTCCAATGGAATTGCAATAATAAAATTTAACCTTTACAAATGTAGTTTACAAGAGAAAAAGTAGCAATCTAACCCTCCAAACCCTAAGTTTGATGTTGATTCTATCTTCTTCTCTTCCTTTCATCTTGAGCTTGATCAAGTAAACCTATACTTCCAATTTGATCATTTGGTTACCGTTACTCAGATTTGACAAAACCTCAGTTCTTCAAAGCTTTCACTCGGCTGGATCCAAATTGCGAACGCATCGTGACCAAAGTTACCAAAGTGATACTATTTTACAGTTACTCCTTTGACAGAAACCCCCGTTCTTTACAGCTTTCACTCAGCTGAATTCAATTTGTGCAATTCTGTGAAAACTCTCAAATCAATCCTTGATATTAGAATAAAACCCCAATTGGATATATCTTGAAACCCCTAAAGAACTCTCAACCCAATTTGATTACAACAATCCTAAATTGGACCTTATCAACCTAATTCTAGATGACACTC